AGCTGGATCTACAACATAATTGTTCCTGAGAAAGGGAGAAGATTGTTTAGAATTGTTTAAAATGGATTACCTCTGTGTATGGAGTTTAGATTAAAAATTCCAGACCTGAGATGTTTGGTTAAAACCCTAAATGGAAAAAAATTTAACTGCAGTTATAGAAACTAAAAATAGACTATCAGACTCTCTCAACTGGGAATTGAAGCCATAGCTAAGTCAAGCATTATATGGGATGCAGAAGTGCACTCTCTCGTACTTGAGTGCTACAATGGGACACTCTTGGGATTCATTATTATTCACTATTTTTATCTTCTGTAACCTGGACATAGTTTATTTTATTCTATTCTATCTTAATTCCTTTTGCATAATAATCTTCAGTTTCATTGTTAAGCCCACATCCTCAGCATTTTCTGTTTGTATTTCAATGCAAGACAACCTTTAAACCAAAGAAAAATCTCAAAAATATGACCTATCAAGCTAGATTTCAGTCTGAGCTCTGACGTATCCAGTAATACCCTTAGTTGGGGATATAATCATTGGAGGCTCATCTAGGCGCTTTCAATTCATTGGATTTAAGAGGGATCTGTGGTCTTCCTTTTCAGAGTAATAGCTGTGGAGGGACAAGGCAGCTACATTGTGGAACTGCATGGGAATTTGAAAGAGCTTTGAATTTTGCTAAGAGTTTTCTGGAAATGCAAGATATAACTGGATTATTTTAAATCTTTGACTGAAACTAAACAGAGTGCAGATAAATTGAAGGTAGAAGTAAAATCAGGATCTCGTAAGAATGAGGGGTTACAAGTTATTAATGAGCATTTAGCATTTGAAGAAACAAAACCTGAATTGGGAGTCAATAAACTTGTTTTATTGTTGAACCTGAATCTGCAGCGTTGTGTATTTGTGTTTCAGCGTAAGTCCATTTTGGTAAAACCCACGAAGAAATATCATCTTGTTGAGGCAAATTTCAGTCTGGGATCTGCACTGTCCAATAATAATATCTGTTGGATCATAACAACTATGTAGGACCTTTACCAAAAATGACAGCAGAACTCCATTCAAAGTAATAATGGAAAAATAAACCCAGTTTTTAACTCATTATGGTCCATCAATAGAAATACAAACAGATCATGGTTCTCACTTTGTTTAGTATTTCCTAAAAAAAACTTCAGTCAATTTAGATGTAAAACAATTAAGTTCCCCATGTTTGCTTGGACTTTCGAGAGATACCACCACACACTCAATACAATTATTAAAGTATGTTGTCTAAGATACTTTTCCACATGGTCAGGCTGATGCCAATGTTGTAAGCTTTAATGTTAGTTCAGGATCACTGAAGTGAAACCTTACTGAACACCTGCTGCAACTTTTATACAAATTCTACACATGATATAATAGTAGTAAACAGTGGTTTATATAAACTACGTCCATACACCTTCCTCTGCCACCACTGAATATCTTTTCTAAAAAAAAATTAGCTTCATTTGCATTCTGGAGAAAAATAATACTAAACTCAAATGTCAACTCTCTTTTTCTCTCTACAGATGCTGCCAGACCTGTGGAGATCCACCAGCATTCTCTGTGCTTTGTTTCAAATTTCCAGCATCTGCAGTATTTTTCTTTCATTGGAACTCACATCATAAATTTATGGTTGTTTCTCTAATCAACTTACATTTTTCTTAGGAGCTCAGTCGAAATGTCTTTAATTATAAACCTGATAACTTGTTGACCCAGGAGTCAGGTTTGCCCAAACTGTCTCCCATTCTGTCCTCATTTTAAGGCTTGAAGATTGCCATTACCACAGAAAATGAATAGGGGTCAGGTGGAGGATTTGGGCTGGGGGTGGGGAGATGGAGAACTCTACAAACCTAGCTTTTCACTAGCTTTTTTTTTTTAAGAGTAGGAATCAGACCTCAAAGATTGGTTGGTTAGGTCAACCCACCATTTATCAAAACATTCGGGTATGAGGATCTTGGGTCATTCACGCTCCATGCCTAGGGCTCTACAGCAGTCATTACAGCTCACAACATGGGCAACCTGGGACTGTAATAAGCTAGCACATCTGGAGAAAACTATTTCTTTGTTCTGAAATGCGGTGATCACTTTATATTGGAAAGCCATTATTGACCTTCTCTGAAATGACTTCTTAAAGATGTAGCCAAATTTGGAATTCATTTCCCAATGGATTGATAGTTTCTAGAAATTGCTGAATATCATTGATACTCTGTGGCTGTAGACATTTTCTTTTGCTTTTTATTTTAAAGCTTAAGGGAGAGCTCCTATAATTTCATTCCTGGTCTTCGTAAGTTACACTTCACATTCAACGTGAGACCTGTTTTCTGTAATAGTTATCAAAATAGTGATCATGCTCTTCTTTTGTTATGGCGTGCATAAGTATGACATCATATGTCATACTGTTTCCCTTCTAAGATCTGAGATGTTGAAATATATTTGGTGTTAGTGATGTGTCAAATGTTAAGTGATTAAAGCAAAATCAAGCAAAAGTTGTCATGAAGGTGGTTAATAACTGACTCAGTCTGAGGGTATTTGCCAAAATCTGTTAGCATCTAATTTCGTGAAAAATATGGTGTTGACTAGTCTTGCCAGACTATCATCCACTGAGGACACTGGACTTCTCATTAGACTACTTTATTTGGTCATAAACAATTTCTATATAGCTTGAACTCTCTCTTTGGCTTGGGAACTGTTACATATCACATAGTTGGCACTGTGACGTGTGATATCACTCCACTGTATAGCATACTGCCAAGTTCAGCTTTGGCTTTCTCCAGCAATGGTAATTGTACCGTCCTTGGAGTCATATTGGCTTGGCACCCTAAAGTAATGTGATATGATATTGTTCTTTGAGCTTTCCTAGACCTTGAAAGAGCTTTTGGAATCCTTGCCAAAATTCCATCCTATTATCCTCCTGTAATACTGCAACCTTTCCAAAAGACACAATTGTATATATATATTGCTACTTTAAAAAATGTTGTTTGGTTCTTGAAGTTATAGCATCTTGTTGATTTTTCATCTCCTTGTGGCTGAGCATGGTAGTGAACTGATCTTATACTTTCCTCATGAGACCAGGCCAGAAGATACCATTGCAAATTTCCAGTCCATCCCATTAGACTAACCTCAATCAAACTAAGGCCATTTAATTCTAATGCTAGGAGCTTTGAGTATGATTGTAGGTATGATCTAGTGATTATGACCCGATAGCTGTTTGACTAGTTGCCAAGCTCAATGCTGACACAAATCAATACCAAATCCATTATGTAAATTTGAAGAACTGTTGATCAAAATTCATGTTCACATTTTCAAAACCAGCAAAAACAGCCTTAATTGCAATAAGAAGTTTCAAGGCACTTCACCGGAGCACTATCAAATACCAAAATAACTCTAAGTCACATGGAGACAATGGGACAGATGACTAAAATTTTGGTGAGAGATGGGTCTCAAAGGGTATTTTAAAGAAGAATAGAGAGAGAGAGACAGCTATATGGAGGGTATAGATAACAAAGTGTGGAGCTGGAGGAACTCAGCAGGCCAGGCAGCATCAGAGGAGCTGGGAAAGTTAACGTTTTGGGTCGGGACCCTTCTTCATTTTCAGAAGAAGGATCCTGACCCAAAATGTCAACTTTCCCAGCTCCTCTGATGCTTCTTGGCCTGCTGTGTTCCTCCAGCTCCACACTTTTTTTTATCTCTGACTCCAGCATCTGCAGTTCTTGCTATCTATATGGAGGGTATTCCTGAGTTTAGGGCCTAGGCAACTGAGGGCATGGCTAACAAGAAATTGAAGTCATAGATGTGGCGGAGGCTAGAATTTGTAAAACACATCTAGGAGGTTAGGCTGGAAAAGTTTTGGAATGGAGAAAAGAATGAAGTCATGGAGGAATTTGAAATCAAAGATGAAGATTTTAAAATTAAGGCACTGCTCAACAGGGAGATGACATGTCGGAAGGCACAGAGGTAATGGGTGAATGGAACTTGGTGTAAAATAAAACATGAGCATCAGTATTTTGAATGAGTTTAGTTTACAGGGAGTGGAAGGTGGGAGCCTGGCCAGGCATGCCTTAGAATAGTGAAGCTCAGAGTTAGAGTCATGACTGAGTGTTTCAGCAGCAGGTGAGCTGAGGCAAGAACAGTCATGTGATTCAGACAGGGAGATAGACCATTTTAGTAACACCATGGACCTGTAATTGAAAGCTCAACTTAGATGAAATATGACAGAAATGTTATGAATAACCGTCACTCTTAAAGTGTTGACAAGGAGAGGAATTGAAATTAGTGGCTAGGAAATGGAGTTTATAGTGGTGACCAAAGACAACTGTTTTGGTATTCTCGATATTTTCTAGAAGGGCAATTCTGCTCATATAGTCCTGAACATCAGATGAGCAGTTCAGACAACGTAGAATTAGTGGAAGTTTGAGAGCAGCGATGATGACACCCAACTTCTTCAATCTACATGTGGAAACTAATGTTGCAATTTCAAATGTTGCGGATAAGAAACAGGATGGAGCCAAGAATAGATTCTTAGGGATGTACCAATGATAAGAGTTCCTGTATGAAGAAATCTTTGCAGAGATAAGCATGGACCTAAGTGAATGCAGTGCCACCATTTGGGTTATGGAGCATATGTGTTGGAGGAGACTGTTTTAGATGACTGTAATAAAAGGCTGTAGACAAATAGGGCAGATTATTTCCAGATAATGAGCAATGGCATTGATAAGAAGGTTGGGAAAATCATGAGATGGCCAATGAGGATCTTTTTACGTCGAGAGCAGAAAGTCTCATTTTCCAACCAAATGTTGAATGGCAAAATGTAATTCTCGGTAGTGAACACTGAGACTTCTTTTTTCATGTATTAACACCTCATTATTATCTGATCTTACCTCATTGTTATGCAATTTGTCATTCTTCCACCTGCTAGATAGAAACTAGATGGTGACCATTCCTGATATAAAAGTCAGAGCGGTTACTTGGCAACGGCAACTCCAACTCACCCCTTGCTCTGCTGACTCTCCATCTTGGACACTCGTTACCAACATCTCCGGGCACGCTCCATGGCAACAACTGCCGACACCTTGCCTCACTGCACCCACTTGGTATATTTCCGATGCACTTGCAAGATGATTCTGCATGATGGAGTGCACTTTGGAGCACACTGGCTCCTTTAATCGGAACAATACTGCAGGGACACGTGCCCAGGGACAAGCACCAAACTCAGGCTGGATATGGATATGGATCAGGCTGCATTTTGATCTCTTAGTGCTTGCTCACTTTGCAACTGGTTAAATGGCTGCAGCATCCCTACCTTACTTTGCCTTTTTGCATCTTACCCCCTCAGGCAGAGCTTAAAGTTCTACAGCCCGTCTGTCTTGCCTTAGGTTTTAGTGCAGACGGAAAGCCAGGCACTTCATCATGATTGTCTGTAGTCATCATTCAAGGAACAGATATATTGCTGCACAGCACCACACCAAGTCAATCCCTTGTGCCAGCAGTCTATGCAGAATGTGAATCAACCAATAGGCCTTTATCAGTCAGGGCTCTCTGTTGAAGTCAGTTAGGGAGGTGAGTCACAGTCTTTCCTGAGGGTCAGTGGAATGAAGGTCAAGTGGCTATTGGGGATCACTGCGGTGATGAGAGGTGAAGAAGTCAAGCTTAGGAATTGAAGACAGCATGCAGGAATGTAGAGGAGACAATAAATGTGAAGAGAAAACCTCAACATATAAGGAGGGGGAGATGTTAGTGCACTGGAGGACGTAGGATACTGTAAGTGGAGGCTTTATTGATGGTCACCACCTCTACTGCTTCAATGATGACAGTGTAGCATGACGATTGGCAGGAATAAACTGTAGGGTCAGGGCTCAGAGTAATGTTGAGACCTGAAAACACAGGTCGAATTGATGTGTGGGAATGTTTGGAAGCTCAGTACTGATAGATTTGACAGGAAGTGCCAGGGAGAAAGGAACATAAGGTTCCATCCCTGAATCTCTAAATAACAGGCTGAGCCTGTGTCTAACTGTGCAGACCATGACTTTACATTCCCTTCTGTATTCTATGACTCATAAATGCACACTGGAAATGGAAAATGGCCAGAACCACACCTGGAGTAGATGGAATCAAATTTTTTTGTGTGAGCACATGGACTCTACTTGTGAGTGATGTGAGATTCAAGGGCAACTGTATTCATCAGGCATTTTCACAGTACAGATTGAAGGCATCTGTAAACATTGCATTGTGCATGTAAAATGCATGCAGTTTCCAACTGTGTGGGATACAAATCCTTGTCACAAGCAATCTTGATCATAGTAATGGTCACTGCTGATCAAAAACTGTCATCTCTGTAAAACAAAAGTAATCACAGGTGACTTTAAAAGTGGAACCGACTAGCCACAAAGCACAACAATACTGCAAGATCTCAGACTGCACAGGGGCACATTATTGATTTCCTTTCATCTTGAATTGTAACTCTTCGATAACGTACTCTTATGTGCAATAGTACCTTTAAGTTTCAGCATTCATAGAACACTTTCAATCTCCTACTGTCTCTTTATGATGACTGGTGCTGCTTTCATTTGGTATAACAGCCTTTGTCAAAGATCCACGTCGAGGAGGACAATGGAATGCCATATTGGAGTCCTCCATATCCCACTGTGTGAATAACCTAAGCTAAATTGTCATTTGTGAGTGATGCTTACATTACCAAGGACCTATTTTGTTTTGTTATATTCCCCACACAGGTTGATTGGAAGTGTGACCAATGGATCCAGACACTTTCAGGGGTTATTGTCACTGTTGCTAGTGTGAAGGCCCAGGGAGGTGGAGAAACAGATGCATCAACAATCCCAAGACGAGCAGTAACTTTCAAACAGGCTCCACGTGGACGTCCCCGCTGAAGTTCCCTTCAGCATGTGTAAAAGATTCAAAAGTCCCAGAGCCTGTTTTTCTCAATGTCACTTCCTCCAGATAAGTGAGGTGCTATGTCACCACAGACTAAAGATGTCCCAGGGCACTGACAGTACTGTGCCGATCGCTGGAGCTGGACCAGTGACATGAAGGAGTGGGCAGCTGTGCTATCTGTCAAAGTGACAGCTACGCTAAATTTTCATGCAATGTTTCCAGGAATTCACTGAGGACCTGTGTGAGATCTCTCAATCCCTAACCCACAAATATATCAAGGATGTTACCAATGAAATTTGTTCCAGATCACACCACGTCATCTTGTTTCTCAATGATGAGATTATATAAGAACATTGGGACAGCAATAGGCCATTCAGCCCTCAGACCTGTCCCACCTTTCAATGAGATCATGGTGATGTTTGGCTTAACTCCATATATCTGCCTTTTGCCTCTCTCCCTTCATAACTTTGCTGAACAAAGAATTCTCTATCTTAGATCAACTAACAACTGAAACAGCATCAACTGCCATTTGTAGAAGAGAGTTCCAAACCTTTGCCACACTTTGTGCGTGAGAGTGCTTCCTAACATCTCTCCTGAATGGTCTGGCCCTAATTTTAGACAATGCTCCCTAGTTCTAGAATCTTCAATCAATGGAAATAGTTTATCCATCATGCCTTTTCCTGTTAATATCTTGAAGAATTTGCTTAGATCACCACCTAACCTCCTAAGCTCTGGAAAAAACAGGCCTCACTCACACTCCTCATAACATACCCCTAAAGTCCAGGTAAACCTACATTGTATTCCCTCCAAGGCCAATATATCCTTCCCAAGGTGTGGTGGTCAGATCTGCTCACAGTACACCACGTGAAGTCTAACCTGGATTTTATACAGCCTTTCCAATTCTCATTAGAGGTTAGTGTTGCAACCAGTGTTGAAGGCTTTGCCAACATTGTTGGTTTCCTCCAGGTGTGAGGGCAGTAGTCTGTACATACATTGCTTTGAGAGAGCCACTCAACAACGTGGCAGACTTCTTTAACAAGAAAGGGTTCCACTAGTTCAATGTACAGTCATCTATGATCATCAGCACCACATCTCTAGAGGTCTGTACCAAATAACTTGCAAGCTGTTGTTTTGCCTATATCCTTGATAACGCTTGTTCCTCTTTCCTGTACATAATGGTCTGACATTGAATGATGAGAAAATATTGGGCTACATGATGTAGACAGGATTGTAAGATGGCATGAGGCTAAGAATGGGTAAGCTGTGCAGTTTGTTTCTTAATTAGCAACAGTTGTACTAATGCACTAATATAATGTACAATGAGGTGTCAGCCATGCCACCTTTGGGCTCTGAGAAGCATTTATTTGTGGTGACTTCCCATTGTGTTCAAGGTGAAGGGCAGCTTTGGACTACCAGTACTTGACTTGGTGCACAGTGGGCTTTAAACAAATGATCGTGGCTGTAGTGAGTACTTCCGCCTACATGATGAGTAGGAGAATGGAATGAATAGGTGCCATAGAGGCATGATGCATAAGTACTGTGGTGAAATTGGGAAGACAGCTTGAGAAAATCCACGAGTCCTCGTGGAGAGAAACTCTCTGTGAAATTGTCAAAAATGACACTTGGCCCATTTTTGATAAAATTCAGTCTACAGAAAAGCAGAAGGATAATAATTTACATTTGCAATCACATGCTATTACCCTTTGTTTTCTATCAGCCAAGCAGCTTTTACTTTATTGGTGCTGCTACATTTTCTCTTATTTCTGCATGCATTTTCTCAGTAAACATGAAGAAGTTTGTAATAAGCTGTCACAAGTATGATAGGTGAGTGACGATCCATCCAGGTCACTTGGTTCTATGATAAAACCAGATTATTTTCTTTTACTACCTCCAATGACACTGCAAACCCAGTACAATGTGGTGGAAGGTGTATCTGTGTGAATGTGGACAGCCAAGTAGATTAAAAGGGGTTTTTACTTCAGCATTTTCCTTCAGTGGGGTAAGGAGCTTTCTGATGTAAAACAAAGTCATGTTTTTCACTAATTAGCACATATGTTGAAGTTAGTTATAATATTTCCAAAAGTTACTTTGAATCCCATTAACAGAGGACGTGTGGGCAGCTCAGGAATAATACTTCTTTTAAAAAATCATTAAAGCATAGGGCTTTGAGTTGCGTATTAAACTCGAAGTTTTGAAAAGAGGTTACCAATAGTAGTTTGCAATTGCACCGAATAATTCAGTGTCACGTTTCATTTGTTCATTCATTTACTAAATTGGCTAACTCTTCAGTTCACACAGTTGATTGGTCGGCCAAGATTTCACGTTGGTTTGTTGGGATACACTGCTGCAGGTCTTGTGCAAGCACGACACTCAGTCAACGCCAACTTGCTCTTTCCACTTATCTGTTGAACAGATACATCATAATGTTGACCTTTGATGATGTTTTAGAAGAAGTAGGAGGATTTGGATTATATCAGAAGATCACATTCTTTTTTGTGTGCCTGCCCTCGGCAGTGTTCTCCTATCTCTATGTTGGATTTGTTTTTTTAGCAGTTACTCCTGACCATTGGTGCAGGAGTCCTGGGGTGACTGAGCTGAGAGATAAATGCAACTGGTCTCTGGAACAGGAGAAGAATTATACGTTACCTGTGGGGCAATCTGGCAGCTCCTCATATAGTCAGTGCGAGAAATACGATATTGACTGGAATTCCTCTTCAGGCAGCTGTGAAAATCCACTGCTGTTTATTCGGAATGGATCCCAAGATTTGCCACTTATAACATGCCAGGACGGGTGGATTTTTAAAAATGACTCCATCTCCAGTATTGTGACTGAGGTATGTATTAGTTTTGATTAGAAAGCAAATTCCAATTATGTTATCAAGTTAGCAGTATGCAATATCAACATGTCAACTCTTGCTAATGAGACACAATTGATATATATTCAGTGTCCAGATTGCAATCATGAGAGTTTGCTATGCTCTAAACTCCATAACGCTCTCCCAAAATCTCTGCTGTTTCACTTTTCTCTCCTCCTTCTATAGCACTGCTTAAAATCTACATCTTTCAATTGTAGCATCTTCTAATGGGTTGGGTGCCAATTTTTTTTTGTCTGCTTAAACTCTGCCTTGGGGCTATTTACTATATTAAACAATTTACATACTGTAATGTCAGTAATTAGAGTTACATTTCACTGTTGTGAAATGGGCCTTCAACTCAATCTTTTGACTCAGATGAGTGAAATCACTTCACCTTAACACACCTAAAGCTATTTATAAGTGAATGTGCATGTGGCTATTTCAAATATCCGTGAATTTCTACCTATGTGCTAATAGTTAAATTCGTACCAAGACTTGTGCGGCTATACAAAATGGAATTGAATTTGAAATCAATTACTTCACAACTCTTAGGAATCAGTTTCATACTCTGTAAACATGCCTGTTTTACCTGCACCTATTTGCAGTCAGCAGAGATGGCACTTAATTAACCTCACCTATAAACTCGGATAAACCTGATATATTGAAATCCTAGTCAGTATATAGTGTGTTTGACTCCTTACATAGAATGTGGAAGTTTCATCAGATTACTCTCAGAACCAATTTCTCCAATTATTCTTGACTGTGATTTGACCAAATGTTGTACAACCTTTGCCTAGTGTCCCGATGCGTCTCAGGGTCATCTCCAGAGATATGGCAGTATTTAAAAGTCATGCTGAGGATGAATACTGCTCTTCTGGTATACCTGGCACCTCAACATTTGCTGAATCTCCAAATAAGCTCTTCCCTGCGAAGAGGAACTGTAGTGAACAGTCATACCAGACTTGAAATATTAACTGTATTTGTCTCCACAGGTGCTGCCAGGCCTGCTGAGTTTCTCCAGTATTTCTGTTTGTTGTAGTGACAAAAATCTGGACTTGGGCATGTCAACAGTTTAGAATTCCGTGGACAGAAAATTTGAATAGAATGTGTCCTGGGATCGAATGAATCAACTGTGTATTGCTGTTGTATCCTATTTTAGGATTTGTTGGCTGACACTGACTGCAAAATAATTCCATTTCAACTGAATCAACTCAGAGGAACAAGAAACTTAATGGAGAATTGTATGCAACGAAAAACATGTTTTGATATGTTTCTCATCCTGACAGATCACCTTTTGTTTTTGTTTGAAAGACTGCATAACTGAATATGGCTATAAATCTAAATATGAAAGACTATTCTTTTCATCTTTGCACCAAAACCTGCAACCTTCTTGATTCTTCATATTTGATTTTTCATAGTTGTGGAATTTGTATTTCCACTACGCCACCGGAAGGTTACACATGGTGTTACACTTGGGGATGGGAAGAGTGTGTTGGAAATCAAGCCTCACTTCTCCTTGAGTCATACCAAATGTTTGTCTTATCAAATATCTCAGTGTCTTACTTAGTCACCAAAATGGTCAATTTGTTTCTCTTTATTACAGTTATCTGGAATAAAAGAGAGTTTTGCCAGGTTTCTTCAATCAATCCCCAATTAGCACGTTTACCAAAGGCAATAAGTGGCAAAATCAGTTATTGACTAAAGTACTATGCAGGATTAAAGATATCCTTCTTTATCCCAAACATAAACACATTCATGGACAGTATGAGCTGAGACGATGTGCAGAAGAAGTAATGGGTTCATTTCTCATAGTTCCTTTGGTTTCCTGTCAACAAGATCTGATTGATGTTGATCACAGGGCAATGGAATATCTTAAAATAATTTTCCAGATTCATCTGGGAAGCAGTTAGGAATCCTGATATTTGAAACTTTCAGGATTTACTAAAGTCCAGAGCCTGTTGCTGGACAACATTCAGCACAAGACCTGTTCTAAACCATTTCTAAACCATTCTGCTTGTCTTGTAATTAAGAGCATAAAAGTGATTTCTTATCTCTCTTTTAAAAGCTTTGCTGGTCACTGCTTTTCAAAGTGGCTTGCTTTTTTAATAAACAGCAAATAACCCACAGTTCTCATTGATTCTATTTTTTCCAAGAAAATATATTGTAAATCCTTTGCAACCCAGGAATTGTCCAAATCTTCCATTTTCTAATTCTCATAATCCATAAATATGTGTGAATCCAACACTAGTTTTAACTATTTTGTGTGAAGACCCATTTCCTGACCTTGAGCCCTGAACACAATCTTTAGCAGTTTCACACATCGCATATCCTTGTTTTGAATTTACTTCAGGTGTACTCTTTATATACCTTTTTTGAATCGGATATGTCAGTGAATCCAGTAAAACACTTAGTAATACAGGAATTTCATGATTAAATGCTCAATAGATAGACATATCACAACTCTAATTACTAATACTGTGCCTCTAATTATTGCACCTCTTCTATGTCTCTCATTGAGCAATATAAGTTGCTAAAGGGGATTGACAAAGTACTTGTAGAAAGGAAGCTTCTTCGTGGGGCAATCTAAAATGAGAGAATAAGGGGTAGCAGATGTAAAACACAGATGAGATATTACTTCTCGCAAAGGATGGTGAATCTGTAGAATTTACTACCCCAGCATGTAGGGGATGCTAGAGCACTGAATAAGTTTAAAGAGGAGATAGGCAGACTTTTAATTAGTAAAGGGTTTGAAGGGTTATGGGGAGCAGGCAGGAAAGTGGAGTTGAAGCTGAAATGAGATCAGACATGATTGTATTAAATGGCAAAGCAGGTTCAATGGCTGAATTGCCTGCACTTGCTCCTAGTTCTTTTGTCTCAAAATGATTCCAGTGCAGTCTCTTGGCCTTGAGAATCTTGAGGTAATGCCTGGTGCCATCTGGAGTCGAGACTAGGTGCCAGTGTTAGAAGGACCATTGTTCTGAACCTTTTATTTCTCAATTTTCTAATTCATTCCTACAATCTCCAGTGCTGAACTTCTTGTGTATCTATTTTCTATTTTTTTTCCTAAGAACATGTACTGAAAAATTGTACCTAGGTACCTTTATATCTAACAAAAACAGAAGTTGTTGGAAAAGCTCAGCAGGTCTGGCAGCATCTGTGAAGCGAAATCAGAGTTAACGTTTCAGGTCTAGTGACCTTTCCTCAGTTTACAGATGCTGCCAGACCTGCTGAGCTTTTTGAGCAACTTCTGTTTTTTTTTCTGATTTACAGCATTCACAGTTCTTTCAGTGTTTACCTTTGTAACTCAGATGGCGCCATAAGTGGCAACTTGTAAACTTCACTGTACTTACCCGAGTACATGTGACAATAAAGCTAATCCAATTCAATTCAATTATGTTCTTGTATTGTTCTTATCCTTGTGCTTTGAACCATCTTTTAGAATGAAGTGGCAGAGTGTGGAGTTCCTCCGGAATTTTTAGCTAGTTTGAGGACAGGATCAAGCTGTTGAAGAACTAGAAATTCAATCAACGATGAAGGGAAGTATTAAACTAATTTAGCAGAGTTTTGGAATCGGAGTGAAACATTAGACAGAAGAAATAAGGTGCACAGTGGACTGGGAGACAAATAAGACTGAGACAATGTTGCAATAGTATTGTTGCTAGACTAGAAATCCAGTGACCCAGATAGTGCTCTGGGATCCAGAAATAGAGATGATAGATCTTGAATTCAAAAATTGGGAATGAAATGTTGCTTGTTGTTAATAACAGCCTTTAGCAAATAGACAAAAGGAGTAAAGAGTATTTGAATAATAGTCTTGATATTTCAAACAGAAGACTAAGATCATTATGATGTAGAAATGATAATGGAAATAAAGCTTGAATAGGGTGTTTTTGGAAGTTAAAATTTCTGGCTGTGAGGTATTCTCGAAAGAGGTAAAAATGAGGGTGGAGGAGGGTCAGTAGTAATTTTAAAAGAAAAACTATTATCGCAGTGGTGTGGGATGATGTAGTTGAGGAGCTAAAGACCATTTATTTAGTTATAATTGAAGAATAATAGATATCTATTATGAGTTATGTCTTTATTATACACTATCAAACAGCAAGAAGGAGATAAAGGGGTAAATGTGCAACAAGTTACAGAAAGCTGCAAGAAAATAGAATATTGATAATGGAGGTTTCTATTGTTCAGAGATAGGAGTAGGACAAGCAGAAAATAGAGGAATTTGTGAAATGTGCACAAGAAAACTTTCTTGATCAATGTGTTTCCAGTCAATGCAGGAGGACAAGGGGATGGATCAAATTTTGGGGATTGAAATCTGTAGATCAATAGGTTAACTATATCTTTACTTGAGTCATTGTTAAACACCTATGGTCACAATGACACCAAATCATATGGAATTGGAAACCAAGTTTATCAAGTTACAAAGATGTCTTCATATAATCTATTACCTTCTATGACCAAACCTGTCAGGATTGGACAGAGTCAGCACGGTTTACAAAAGGGAAATAATGCTTGTCAAATCTACTGGAATCTTTTGAGGATGAAACTAGGAGAGCTGATTAGGGAACAAGTGAGTGGTGTTGAAGTTAACTTTCATAAGGCTTTTTATAAGGTCCCACGTACAATTAAAGTATGAGTTTGGGTATAGTGCATTGATATGGATTTAGAACTGCTTGGAAGATACGAAACAGTAGGAATAAATGGCATGCATTTGCCCAATCATCCAACTTCTCCAAATCATACTGCATGTGACCAGTGGGAAATTGCAGGGATCAGTATTTGGACCCTAGCTATTAGCAATTTATATTTATGATTTAGATTAGGAGACCAAATGTAATATCTCCAGATTTGCAGATGACTCAAAGCTGGTTGGGAGGGTGAATTGTGAAGAGAATGCAAAGATGCTTTAGTGTGATTTGGAGAAGTTGAATGAATGGGCAAATGCATGGAAAACTAAGCATAATGTGGATAAATGTGAA